ATATGCATATATATATATATATATATATATATATATATGTTGTGGAAAGTGATTACTCAAATTCAAAATTCATGCATCGTATTAAAAATTGGGATCTTTAAAATAATGCAGAATTTCTTAGCAATAACCGTTCAAAAAGCGATCGAGGAATGAAATAGACTTAGAATCTATGCAAATTGAACGCATTAAAAAGTGATGAATTAAATTTGCAATCGAAAACTCTTTATTTTTTAATGTTTTAATTATTTATGTAATTTTTTTAAATTTTATTATTTTTTTTAACATTTCCTAAGAAAAGAAATTCAGTGTCTTCAGAAGATTTCGCAGGCTGCAGGTTTTCAACCCAATTATGCTAAAAAACATTGCTAGGAGTACAGAAAAGTCTCCTAATAGTCTCCTTTTTCTGAAGTTGCTTTTTTAGTCTTTTCAGGCAAAAAAAAGTTGCCATAGTCGCCTCATGCTGAAAATAGTTGCATTTTAGTCGCCTGTGGCAACCCTGGACATTGGACTTGAAACTCACTTGAATACGAATCGCTATATTGGATTTTTAAAACGCGTGATTACGAATCGCGATGCACGATTTTCAAATCACGTGAATACGATTCACAATGAGTCACTTTAAAATCAGATAAATACGAAAATCGATGTTTGATAATAAAATCGCGTGAATATGAATCACGATATCCGGCAGTTTCAAGTATTAAAAATGATAAAAATCCGACAAACCAAAAAAATGAATAAATAAATAAAATAGTCACGCAAACGAAAAATTGATAACGTCTAACGGCGATTTAGCAAAGGTTTCTAAATTTAAATTTTTTAATTAGTAGTCGGATTATAAGTTTTGATTCACGGAAATCCGCGAAAAAAATGACATGCCCTGCTCCTAGACATGGATGAAGGCACTCACAGGTTAAAAATGAAAATGTCACCGATATTTAACAGCGCATTGACTAATGTTATTAACCACACCAAAGCTCTAAACTCGTTCCCGTTACAGTGACAGAATGCTCTCTCTTATATTCAGAAAGAAATAAGATGGTTATCCAGAGGATTATTTGAATTAAGAGAGTCAGATTTCTCTCATAAAAGGCATGGGTCGCAAAGCTGACATGACTCAATAAACTTCGTGAAATTGTTTTGAAGTTGGCAGACAAAGTAGATGAAAAGCTAAACTGGAGCTAAACTTGCATCAGACCTCGCCAAGTATCAGACAATAAAGGAGCTTTCAGGTGAGATGCACGATATTAACCACGCATTAATGATACACACTCATTCTCAACCACAAAAAACCTACGAACTGGTAAGGAATGGACCCACGATCCATTAGTCAATATATCAGGCAAATCTAGCATGTCTGTGCAAGAAGATCCATTGCTGGAGATCGCAAATGACGATGGTCTTAAAAGTACGTTCGAGACAGTCACTCTGCCATGTGTTCTGAATGATTAAAAATGGCGGAATATCCTGAGGTGACCACTACAGCACAACCCATCTGTGTGGAGTGGAGTTTTCCTGAAGTCACAGCAACCCAATAAAAATAACGGAATAAAGTGGACACTTCGACTGTCTCCTACATGGAAATCTTATTTCAACGAAATAAACTCATGGATTGAGTGTCAATGTATTTTATTTTGAAATCGTGTTTAATGACAGTTCAATTAAAATGATTAAATCAAAGTAATCTAAAATATAATCAACACCCCCCCGAAGGCGAGCCCCTGTGAAAGTAATCAAACGTTGACCGGCGATGAAAAGGTTGGGGGCACTGATGTAGAATACATCAAAAATTGTCTTTCCAACTTACATGCAAAGTATAGTTAATACGAGAGCTGTTTTTTTTTAAGGGCCGTTTTGTTGGGTACACTCTGCGTCGCAACGAGTGTTTGCGTTGTGTCCTAGCATTCCTTGAGAACAACTGAACTCGGTGACAGCTGTGTCGGTAACCTGTACAGTCAGTTCTGTGTCTTTAAAATGTTCAAGTTTTATAGATCCGTATGAGGTACGGTCGGTGATGCGTTTTTAGTCGACAGAAAACCTGTGTGCTGCTGCATACATTCACTGGCAGATTTGTGAAGTTTACAAAGCTTTCTACTGCCATTCTGCCCGAAAATTTTGCTACTCCATGACAATGATTCTATACACAGCTCAGTCCTGAGCCTTATTGGGATTTTTTGGCTGGACCACCCCTCAAACACAACCCAGACCTTGCGCTAAGTGATTTTCATCATTTCCCATGTTTCAAACATCATTTAGGCTGCAATCAGTACATCGATGACGTGAAAACGGTCTCTTGGTTAGCAGAGCAGGCGGTAAGTTACTGTGAAGAGGGTATTCTAAATCTAGTTGTGAGGTATGATAAGTGTTTAAGCAAACTTGGCAACTATTTTGAAAAAAAAAAAAAGAAAAAAAAAATAGAGAAACGTATGTAGAATCAAAAAATAAATTTGCTTCATGAAAATTTTCATTTCTTTGGTTTTTATTTTTAAACGGTCGTTAAATAAAAATAAATAAATAAAGCCCTCGTAAAATCAGACTCGAACAGCATTTTTTTTCTTTTTAAATTTTATTTATTTAAGATTTCTGTTATATGTGCATTAAAAATCGAAGCCCAATTCTATGTCCAGGGATTTTTGATACAGATTTGTACATCTGTAAACCGAAGAACATTTCGCACAGTGACGATATTCATCCGTGATGTAATTTAAATTAGCTAAATTTTAAGAGTATAAGAAAAAAGACTAGAACAATCTCATATGTCCTCCCTCTCAGAAAAATTAATAGATGTTACACAAAACATTGTGAGATCTAATAATAGAAAACCAAAATGCTGCTTTAAGAAGCGTACTCCAAAAATATGATTTTCTCAAAGCAATCTCTAAAACCATGACTTAAATTGAAATTAAATTTGCGATGAAAGAGAATTTTTTGCATACAAGAACGCTGAGAAAAGCCTTACCTTCCGGCCTGTACTGTACAAGCATCGTCACCGTCTGTCCAGCGCCTTTCAATGCCGCGGCCGCCTGCTCGTGAGTGGCATGCCTCAGGTCCTCCCCATTCACCTAAAATAAATACATAGTTATGTAAATAACATAAATGCGTATTACGAGTTTAAAATAAATCCTATTTTCAAATTCAAAGATGCTAAAGTTAAACCAGAGATCGGAAGTAGCGAAACTGTTGTAGTCGCTACTTTTTTCCGTAGTTTGTAGTGTAGTGCGCGAATTTTTTTAAAAGAGGAAAAAAAAGTAGTTTGTAGCGATTCCTGGCAACTATTCTTTATTTTTTTTTTTCGTCGTAGAACAGCCGACCCAATTTTACGGGTTTACGACTACTAATGTTCAACTCCGCAGCCTTGTCATTTTGAGCCCAATCCAGAAGACAAGGGAACTCCTGGATCAAGTATTGGGAGAAATCTGCCTTCGTGGGGGACTTTTCGATGGAGCTAACCCACATTTGCGTTACATGGAGAGGAAGACCACGAGAACCTGCCACGGTTAGTCTGACGGCAAGGGGACTCTAACCCAGAATCCGTCTNTAAAATAGGAAAAAACAGTAGTTTGTAGCGATTCCTGGCAACTATTCTTTTTTTTTTTTTTTCGTCGTAGAACAGACGACTTTATTTTACGGGTATACGACTACTAATGCTCAACTCCGTAGCCTTGTGATTTTGAACCCAATCCAGAAGACGAGGGAACTCCTGGATCGAGTATTGGGAGAAATCTGCCTTCGTGGGGGACTTTTTGATGGAGCTAACCCACATTTGCGTTACATGGAGAGGAAGACCACGAGAACCTACCACGGTTAGTCTGACAGCAAGGGGACTCTAACCCAGAATCCGTCTACCACTGAGGATATTTCACGTTAGCACTGTGGTCGGTGCAAGCCGGATGCGGAATTCGAAGCCGGTTCGCCTCATTGGAAGGCGAACGCTCTATCCCCTGAGTCATCGCGGCTCAAGGCAACTACTTTTAATGTCAGTTGAATAAAGAGTTCAAACGCAAAATATTTTTCGAATTTGATGGGTGCAAATCCTTTGTGTTCCCGTAAACGCCCACCGCACGCAATGAGAATGCTTCTATGGCCGAGAGTGAATGAGATCTACGAATGATGCTCGGAAATATCGGCGCGTAATCGAATCGAATTTTAAATATCTGACTTTTTTAAAATTCGATATCACAGTAACTATGAAGTACGTTTTTGTGTCTGATATCATAACTTAAAATATCGTCTGCATTAATTAATTAGCATATTTGTGATCACCCTCTCAAACCATTAATCTTGGAATGTGAAGATCCGATCATTAGTTCAAAAGTTATTCTGGGTGGTCCGTATTTTGTTCTTCGCACTATACTTTATTTCTTGGAGGATATAAAAAAGCATTGATCACTTAAATCAGAAATATTTGATAATTTCTTACCATTTCCGAAATTAAATATTCACTATCGAGAAAAGCATTGAATTTGAAAGTTAAAAGAACAAATTCGTAAAAAGTGCTTCAGAATAAAAAACTATTTCATGTAAACATGAATTAATTCTTCTTAATAACTCCTGATATTTAACCATGCCAATTTTTTTTTAATTCAAAATTATTCTGAATATGGGTGAAAATTAAATTCTTCAGTTAAGTTTCTGTTCTAAAAGTAGTGATTATATTTCGAAAGTATTTTGTAGTAGGTACATTAAAAAAAAGTAGTTAACCGCATGTGTTATGTAGTTAACCGCAAAGAAAACGCAGTTTTTCCGCTCACTGAGTTAAACCTTTGAATTTGAACAAAATTTAAATTTAAACAAAACTTCGCTACTATTTAATGCGTAAACAAATAATGATTGTGTTTAAATAAAACAAAATAGGATTTTTTAAAATTAAAATTAGTTTTTTTCTATAGTTACGTCGATTTTTTTTAATTTCCTCAAAAGTTTAATGAATATCAATTATTGATTGTTTTAAAATGAATCTTCATCAAAATAATATAAGATACATTTTTTATACAAGTTGAACTATATAAATTTATATAAAAAATAAAAACAGTAAGATAAAATTACCACCCTGTTTTTATGCAACAAACAATTCAGTAAAAGCTTTATATGATCTTTAATTGAGTTAGAAATTACAAAGACAGAACTTTAAGGTATGTATTGGATAACATAAGAACGGTAACAACTTATAGCATTAAAATAATTCAGATAAATGACGTAATCATATGTATAATGATGCCAAGTAAGAAAAGAAAACTATTTTTTGTCCGAAAAGTGTCAAACATCTCAAGGAATATGCATCAGACTTAAAAAAAAAAAAGAAGTAATGAAGTAAAACCAATATAATGTTTAAAAAAAAAAAAAATGCGCGACTTCAAAATCAACCAAGATCCCGTAACTGGGTCAGCTGGAAATGCGTGAACCTTCATTTGAATTTTACGATTACAGCGTCATCCATGAACCGATGTATTAAAGAGGTGTACTTTTTTTTTCTTCTAAAGAATCCTAATCTGCAATAAAAACCCTGGCCAGAATTTTGAAGTTGCCTTCCTAGAGATCGAGTTAGGTATCATTTAATTGAATGATTATTTCGAAAGTATTCCATATTGTCAGGTTGAAAGTACCTAATGCATTTAATATTCATCCATGTATTATTAGACCATTCCCAAGTTTTTCAAACATTCGCATGTATAGATGCTTGCAAACAATTTAAATTTCATTACTTTTTAAAAAGAAGTTATTTTCACTTCAGTTATTCAAAGCATTTTTAAAAACATGACACATCATCTTAATTATTGATTCGTTTAAATGATTTAAATCAAAGATTTTCTTTAACCAACCTATTAAAATCAATTCATCTTGATCATTCGCTCTCAACAATTCTACTGTGCTAAACGATATAGGAATTAACATCGCGATACATCATTATAAAACATTTTACGATATATAACGTAATTTTTCAAATGTCACTAAATTATTCTTTTTACTCAAACGATTAATGTTCTCAATCAATCGTCTCAAATACTAATCAAGTCGTCTAATTTGTATTGTCAAAACACTGCAGCGTTTAAGGCAATTTAAACATCACAATATATTCTCATAAAATAGTGATATTTCTTTTTTCCAAGTTTACTATTGGAAGAAAAAAAAACAACTTTTTTTTTCTAAATAGTCTCAAATAATTTAAATCAGCAGAACTTAGTATAATTATCGCGATATATTTGACCTTCTGATATTAATCCTTACCGTACACGACAATAACCTTTTTAATTATCGCTATCAGGATATTAAAAAAATATTAATATATAATAATATCATAATAATATATATCATATATATGGATGGTGTGTGTCACAATTTTCCATTGTTGTCGGTACATTTTTATTGGCCAGAAAATCGCATGATAGGATCTAGTTTTCCCACATTCATTTTCATATTGGTTTCGTAGTTATCAGCATCAAATTGATAGAAGAAGTCATAAAGGTTTTGTTTTCCTATCAATATTTTTGTTTCCCTAATTTAAAGGTATTTATCTGTACTGTTATTATTACGTTACTGAGTTTTTTTTTATTTTTTAGTTTGTTTGTTCTAAATTAAGAGTTCAAGAGGATTGTTTTTATTATTATTGTTAGAATAACATAATTCTTTTAAGATAAAGTTATTTAAATAGGTGTCTATTAACCGTTTAACAATCATTATTCTTCGGTACAAATTACGTTAATATACTATGACGGTTAAAGAGATTCATTAAATGAACTTCACTTTCAGCTTCGTGCAGGGATGAATGCAATAATTGTATTTAAAATATACATCCGTTCGTTTGGTAAGCAAAAATATTAAATTACAGTTATGAACTTGCTATAACAATATACTTTTTAATTTTAAAGGTTATTTAAAAAAAATGATTTATGTTCACTAATATATTTAATAGTATTATAATTGAGGGAAATATTTGGACACGGGAAGTAACCGGACAAGTGCAATTTTTAGTTGAATAATTTCAACTGTTACATACCAAGAAACAGCAAGCAGTCATCGGGGTTGGTGAGCGTCAGCAAACAGGGGGCTTAATCTCTCTCTCTCTCTTTATTTATATATACNTATGTACTTCGCCAACTCCAATAATTTCTTCACAATTATCGTTTCTTGGCAGAACATAATACATGCACACACATATGCACTAAAAGAAATTCTGTTTGCTTGTGCCTCCACTTCCCACGTCCAAATAGTATTATAAATATTTAGATCTACTGGTAAACAGAAGTAATTTTTCTAAGTAATCATTTTTTAAAATAGCATTTATATTGTAATAACAATATATAAAAATCACAATATACTGTTAAAACAAATTTGATGAGTTCACTACCGTCATTTTATATTCTCGCTTACCAAATTGGGGGATATATTAAATATTATTTTTGCTTGCATCTCATTGTGCATGAAGCTGATCATTAAGTTTAAAATCATTTAACAGTTCTCTTTAATTTATTACAGTATATTAATGTTATTTGCATAAAAATAATAATTGTAAAACGGTTTATAAGATTTGACGACCTTTCACCTAACTTTATCTTAAAATGTAGAGCAGAATTACATTATAATAATAATAAAAAAACAACAACAATTCTTAGTTTTAAACTCGAAAATTGAATACCTAACACTCTTTTACAATTTTTTTAAAAACAAGTTCAAACCGATCTAAAGGACAAGGCAGTCATTAAAAACATTTCTATAAGTTGAGAAATAAGACGCCACTTTCTCTGGCGATGTGGAAAACAAAGAATTTTTAACACTCGAATGAAATGCACCGCTGGTGAGTTCTTCCCATTTTAAAGTGCATTCCTTGAAGATTCATTTCGAGTTGGCGACACATTCATCATCATTAAGCGTCGCCAAGAGGCTCATCAGCACTCATCACCTGTGCACCTTAAAATTATCCTTTTAAAGAACCTAATGTTGCAGCAGGACATGAAAAGGAATTCATTCATTATGAGATAGGCATTTAATTAAAAGTTGAACAACAAAGGGTTGAAATGAGGTTTGCTTATTGGCGAAATTGAAGAATACATCTGAACCGACATCAAAATTCGTTGGCGGTAAATGATGGTTTAAAAATAGTTTACCAATATTCGAACTAAAACAGTACTTGAAATAGTGTTCAGTAAACCTCGTTTAACAATTCTACGTGAACCCAATAATTATTGTTTAATGCTCCTTTTTATGTTTGTATCCATCCTTTCCATTCCTCCTTTTTCTCTCTCATTTGTTCTAATGTCAGAAGAAGTTTTTTTTTAAAAAAAAAAAAAGATTTCTTATGTATATATATTTTCTTAACCTCGAGATTAGAGCAGTATAACTGCTTCCGGCTCGTGTGATATTGATCCTAAGATTCATCCAATATTTTAAGAGATCCAGAATTCTTTGGAATAATGTGTCACAATTTTGATTGAAATTGCGTCTAATATTTTTTTTAAATAAATTTATAGGGTTGATTAAAAAAACAATGTGTATTTTCTTTCAGATTTTTTTTTTCAAACGTCGAATTCTTAATTGATATAATTCAAAAAGTAATTAGAATATAGACGCAGATTTCTTTCTTTTTTTTGAATAAATGAAGGAAAAAGAGTAGGAAATCGTTACATAAATAAGGAGTGTTAGCAAAATCTAATCGAGAACGAACCAATGAAGTACGAAATCTTTTAACAACCCCTGCTTTTAGTATCAAAATAAGACATTTTCTTTGGTTCTTAACACGTTAAGCACGGGTGTAGAGCAATTTTTTTAGCAGCTAATAGCCGCATTAACGGTAGATTTCAAACACCTGAGAGCAGCGTGGCACATAAGAATAGGGCCGCCCTCATGAATGTATGAGCTGAGGCATTTATTGAGTCCAAAACACATCCTTTAAAGAATGTTTTAAAACTTACAGAAATGATTTGGTCTCCTCTCCTGACATCACCACTGAGGTCAGCTGGTCCTCCAGCTAAGATAAAAGAAATGAAGATCCCCTCTCCATCTTCTCCTCCCACAATATTGAACCCGAGACCTGTCGATCCTTTAGACAACACTACCTTACGTGGTTCTCTGCAAAGACACAAAATCATAAGATCTCACAGGACCCTTTGACACAAAATTTTTGTTAAACATATTTTTTTATTATTATTTTGTATTAATTTAGATCAAAATAATCAAACAATACTATATTACTACATATAGATAATAATTTATGGTTATATAGCACCGGTGTTTTTTTTTTTTTTTTCTGTTCAAACAATATTTTTTTCTTCAAATTTGTACTTAATTTCAGCTATTTAGTTCTAAGAGAAACAGTCATCCATCATTGAAATTATTTTAATTCACAAAATCAATGATTGATAAATTTTTTGTTAGAAATGGGAAGAGAAAAAATTCAATTTATATTTTAGTAACTATTAGACTGTTTTTTATAACTAAAAAATGCCAGAATATATTTTTATTAGTAATTAGAGATCTCGAAAAAAATATATATACATAAAAGGGACGTCCCACCAGCGTCAAAGGGGTCATCCTATGTTATATTTCAAGATTTTAGCTTATACAAAATTTTCCATTCTTTGACTTTTGTACCTTTGTTGATAAAAAAAATAAATCTATTTGAAGTGGAATGTTATGTAGGGGGCCTTTGGAGTTCTTTCATTTGTTTATTTTTGCTTATAGGTTTGGCAAGTTTTTGTCAATTGAGAGTTTTATCTGTTTCATGTCAAAAAATCCTTTTCGCAATTGTCAAGACTCGATTCATTTATATAAATATGAAGTACTTAAATATAAAAGTACATATAAAATTACAAGTGCTTAAATCTATGTTCTTTGAGCTTGTTGCCATTAAATCCTTTTTTGATTTTACAATTACTGTCAAAAATCCAAAATTTTTGGGTAAAAAAAATATACAAAAATGCAATTTATACAATCTGTTAATTTTTTTATTTATTGAATTTGGATCACTGACTGTCTTCATAATTAAATTATAACTATTAAAAAGTTCACGCATGAAAGTTTATTTAATACATAAACATATTATTAAGTTGATTACATAAATTAAGTCTACATACTAAATAAACTATACATGTATTAGGAAATTTATTTTGATAATTGTACTCAATATGGATGACAACTAAATCAAGCATTTGAATTCATTGATTGAAAAAAATTAATAATCGATTTCAACAAATATTCACATTTTTTTCTAAATTTTAATCAGGGAATATATTATAAGCATGATTTATAGATAATGTTTATGTATGTAAATAAAAACATCAACAGTAAATAATGATAATCAAAAAGTATTTTTTAAATACCATTTTCGTTTTATTTAAGCCTAAATTTTGGTATACAATCAATATTTAGAGTGATAACACTCAACTCATATTTATTATAGAAATATAAACTGAATGATCGTTATAAAATATAATAACGATCTCAAAGTATAAATAGTACCATGTTTTTTGAAAAAGCTATTAATAGTTTCAATTTTTATACATGATATATACTATAAATTCTAATTATAGTATGTAATAATCATAAAGCAAGTATTGTGTTTGATTTAAATATTTATGTAGCTTGATTTCGAATAAAAATTTTTTGTAAGTGCTAACCGAAAACATGGAAGAAATAGAAACCTTTTAAAATCTAAAAATCTTTTATGTTAAGTAGGAAAATTCAATTAACGAATAGAAATCTTGCTAGATAAAAAAAAAAATCACATTTTAACACTATATTTTGTAAAAATAAGAGTTAAGAGTCTTTTTTCTTAGGCACTTTGCAGTAAAAGTTCAACGTAAAGTACAATTATAATTGATTTATTTTAATATAAAATCTACCTTTTTCAGTGATGTACGAAATCAATAAAATAGTAAGAAATGAATTAATAAACAAATTCATACTCAAGTGGAGCTCTTATAGAACTTCCGGAATTTTAACAAAGGGAAAAATAATTATTTGCCCGGATGTCAAACAAAAACATTAAATATCCTTAGGAAAAACAAAAATGGGATNAAAATAAGAGTTAAGAGTCTTTTTTCTTAGGCACTTTGCAGTAAAAGTTCAACGTAAAGTACAATTATAATTGATTTATTTTAATATAAAATCTACCTTTTTCAGTGATGTACGAAATCAATAAAATAGTAAGAAATGAATTAATAAACAAATTCATACTCAAGTGGAGCTTTTATAGAACTTCTTTTACTTATCTGGAATTTTAACAAAGGGAAAAATAATTATTGGCCCGGATGCCAAACAAAAACATTAAAAATCTATATCCTTAGGAAAAAGAAGAAAAAATATAAAGACAAAAATGGGATTTTTACGAACCTTAAAGTTTATAGGGATAAAAAAAAAGCAATTTACAATAAGTAAGAATTTTTTGCGATAAGTAGGTGTCAGCCAAAAGGTCTTAAAAACAGTTTAGAATTAAGAACTATTAAGAAGCGTTTTTAGAAGCTCGACAAGAAAAATAAAAAAAAGTTACAAGTACCTCTTACCCTTGAGACAAAGCTATTTTAAACTGTGTATATCATCTTGCCGCAAAGAATTATCTAGGCTTTAGAACGGACAAATAACTTAAACGTTTTAAAAGTTATTTATTTAAAAAAAAAACTGTAATTTTACGAGATTCTTCCACATAATAAAAATAAGCCAAGCCCGTCAAGTACCAATTCTCTTAAATAATACAATCTATCGTCTTACACAAAGATTTAAATTCTTTCATTATATATATTTCACACAAAAACAACAGGCATGCAGAACTTATGCATCGAAGTTGTCAGGTACACAAAAGAAAAATATGCAGGTTACAATAAAATACATAAATCTAAAAGAACATTCTAACTTATGTGGCGAAACTTAGCTCAAGTTTAAGTTTAACACACCAATTTGTTCATAGTTGATCAGCTGGAGCTGATATCATAGGTCACATGTGTGGGTATCCGTTATCAACTTTTTCTTCTTGAAATGCAAATATCCAATTATCAATATTTTACAGTTTTTGAAAAATTTTATGAGACTAGATAGATAATGCAGCAGAGTTATTTCTTAAATATCAATAAAATTAGACTACAAACGCTTTTCATTTTCATAAATCTGTGGTCGACGTTTTGCGCCATTTTCAGACTTAGGCGAGCTAGAGGGCGCTGTAATAAGATAAACTGAACTTGATTAACTTAACTCTAACGAATAACTGTTACAAATTCAGAACAATTGAGTACTTGCAACTCACAAACAGGAAGTAATGGTGCCTAACCATGCGATTTAAATCAATTTCAATTGAATACTTGCAAGCGACGTCACACATATGTGTCGTATGTGATTGGCTTCTGAACCGACACAATTAAACTCCGATGACGTTCATTGGGGGTATCCAATTACGAAAATAGAAAGCGTCATTTACATGTGCCGGCAGACTTCGAAAAACAGCCTTGAATTTTAAGTACACGTACGCACAAACACTGAAAAGAGTGCTAAATAGATTTCTATAAAAGTTTTGTTAAATCCAACACAATAGGCAGTAGACATTTAAAAATCAACTAAGTTAGATTTTAAACTGCATTAAAAATTCAACTTACATTTATTTAAATTCAGATGGAGGAGAATTATTTTGATTAATATTACAACCATTAGCATAATGACCCAGAGGACTTAAAGACCACGCACCATCCTTCACCCTTTGAAATTGGATGCAAAGGAGTCTATAAATCTCAGGGTTCGATATTTACGGAAAGCTATTCCCGAAACAGGAAAGGTAATGATTTATAAAGATAAGTTTCAATCTTTCGAAGAGGGGTAAATAAATTCTAGAATATATATATATTTTTCTCCGTTTCCAAGAAAGGTAGCAGATGGTTCGATGCAGTTTTCCAATCTCAAAGTTCCGTCAATCCATCACACACACCCCACTTAAGTTTGAAGAAAATATTGAATTGGAATTGAATTCTTAACAAAAATAAATCCAACTTGTTTGGAAGAAAATAACAGGAAGCAGTTGGCGAATAAAAATACCGCCATGTCAAGTTTTACAAACACATATTTTTAAGTGCCACAGGCGTGAAATATTTGATTTATTAGTTTATATAAACCTGATGTCTCCAAACTTTTATGAACAGTCAGGAATTTCTGCACTTCGTTTCGATCGAAATGAACTGTTCAAGAAATTTTAAAATTATTTTCTTGGTCTCCTCTTTATTTTACGAATAGTTGATCAAGTGTACATTTCATATTTGTAATTTCAGTTTTATTTATTTATCAAAACAACAGGGCAACGCATTTTCATAAGTTTTTTTTTTTTCTTCCCACACTGTTTTAGAGGTGCCCACTGTTTGCTTAGGTAAAGTTTAGTGAATCTAAAATTAAACACTTCACAATTTACTGTTTGTCCTATTTTTCATTTATTCCTATTTCTTATTTCTCTTATTGATAAATTATTATCTCCCCATCGAAAAAAAGAAAAACCAACAGCAAAAACAAAAGCCATTATGCAAAAAAAGAATATCATAGAAAATGCCTTCTAATGAAAAAAGAAATCTGGTAAATTTCTTTAATAATAAAAGGCTAAAAAAGAAATGATAGTCAGGAACGACAAATTCGAATTTAAATTTCCGATGAACTGATCTCTCAAATGAATTGCTTCCAGCGGATCAACCACCCGCTTAAAATATAAACAGCCAGGGTTTTTGTTTCAAATTTAAGTTTTAGACAGAATCCTAGTTTTATTTAAGTTATGTACCCATAATAATTTCATAGATTAGATATTCTCATTAAAAAAAAATTTTAATCTCCCCCCCTCACCACCCATATTACACAAAACATGGAATAACACCAACACGTTTCTAAAATCAAAGCAATTTTTTACGGAAGTTTCCAATCGTACAAAAAATAAATAGATAAATAAAATAAAAGCGGGAATTTCCCACGACAGTATAGTTGTTATCGTGACACACAGACAGCGGGGGAGGGGAGAAGTAAATGAAAACTAATAATTACCCGGAAATTGTTTCACCAAAATAGTTTCCTCAATTATATGATAGGTGAAATCATTTCCAATTTTTCTTTTGTAA